TGCTTTCCTTGCTTGGCTCAGCACCTGGTTTTCACCCACACCGTGAGAGATTGCATTGGGAAAGCTGTGGAATCCTTGAACCTGGCTTTGAGTTCTGGTTCTGACTCTTTCCCCGCCCTGGTCACTCACTTGTTCTTTAGAGTTGGATTTATATTGTGGTGTTAGCTAACATTTAGCGAGCACTTGCTATGCTCTAGAATGAACAGAGAACTTTACATTTTCTTTCCCACATCAACTTTACAAAAAAATTAAAAAAAAATTCTCTGCCAGGTGTGGTGGTTCATGACTATAATCCCAAGACTTTGGGAGGCTGAGGCTGAGGCTGAGGCTGAGACTAGCCTGGGCAACTTGGCGAGACCTCATCTCTACAATCAATCAATCAATAAATCTTCTGTTGCAGTTGAGAAATCTGCTTGTCCAGGGTCCCCTAGTTGGTAGGAGGCACACCAGGTAGTTTGGCTCCAGAGACTTTGCCGTTAACCACTCATGTGAAGGAGACAATGATTGCCTTGAGCACCCAGTTCAGGTGGCAACCCCCTAAACTTTGCAGGAGGCATTTCTTGTTTGTTTTGTTTTATCCAGTGCTTCTAAGTTGCATGACCAATTGTCCAGTTATCACCTGCATATACTGGCATAAATGCAATCCTCACTATTCAGTGCAGCTTCTGGGGGAGAGTGAATGGCAAACCCTGGTCTCCAGCCACTACCAAAGCCTTCTGGAAGGTTGTAACTGGGCTTCTATGTCCTTATATTTCCCATAGCGTAAAGTAGGGAACAGTGCCTATGATGATGCCTAATAAATTCCTGCTGACTGGATAGATGAATAAGAACTGGAATCAGTAAAACTTCGGACTGTTGAGATCATCATGGTGAATACACTCAGTTCAGTTCTGTGTGCCACAGTTTAAAACGGAAATGGATATTTTTGTTTTCAGATGCTTCCTGGTTCAGCGCACAGGCAAAACAAAGGTAGAGGAGGGGGTCGTCGATCTACATGACAGCAACTTGAAGCAATTTCTCTTGTGGGGACATCACTCTGGCACTTGTTTCTGGGGTTTGATAAAGGTGGGTTGGCTGCTAATATAATTTGACATATCTTGTTGACTTTTACTCCTGAACAAAAACACTGAAGAGACCATGCTAACAGTCTTCTAAAAAATCAGCTTTATTGAGATAAAATTTACATACCAGAAATATTCATTAACTGTTCAATATTTTTGTGTGTATTAATTTCAAAAAATTAGTTAAGCGGACAGAACATAAATTTGGATAAGTTAACCAAATTTAATTGTACAGTTCAATGGCATCATTATTTTCACAATGTTTTGCAAACATTGTCCCTATTTCCAGAACTTTTAATCATTCCAACAGAAACTCTGTAACCATTAAGCAATTTCTCCTCATTCTGCCTTCCCCCATCCTTAGTAAACTCTAATCTACTTTCTATCTCTACAAATTTACCTATCCACCACCTTCATTTGTTCTTTTATGTTTGGTTTATTTCACTTTAGCCTACTGTTATCAAGGTTGTTTCTGCTATATCACGTATCAGACTTTATTCCTTTTTATGATTGAATGATATTCCGTTGTATGTATATATCTAATTTTGTGTTATCATTTATCTGTTGATGAACACTTGAGTTCTTTTTTCCTTTTCACTATTGTGAATAAATGCTGCCATGAACTTTGGCTACAAGTATCTGTTTAATTCCTTGCTTTTGTGTCCTTTAGGTATGTACTTAGGAGTAGAATTGCTGAATCATAGGCTACATGTGTTTTCATCTTTAGAGGAACCGAAAATTGACTTTTCAAATTGGCCATACCCGTTTATATCCACCAGCAATTCACAAGAGTCCAGTTTTTCTGCATTCTGCCCAATATTGGTTATACAACATAAAAAAAAATTAAATTCCTCCTAAATGGTGTGAAGTGGTATCTTATTGTGGTTTTGAATTGCACTTTCCTATGACTAATGCAGTTGATTATCTTTTCGTATGCTTATTGACTATTTGCATATCTTCTTTGTAGAAGTGACTCTCGAAATCCTTTGTCCATTGCTAAATGGGGTTGCTATATTTTTGTGTTTGAATGTAGGAGTTCTGGTAGGGTGCAAGTTCTTTCCTTTCCATGTGGATATTCAGTTTCCCCTCCTAGTCCACCTTCTGCACCTCTTTGTTCATTCTCAGGTCTCTACCTTTCCCATCCCAATGAAGTTTTCCCTTGTATGAGTCACCTCCCTCTTTTCACTTGGGTACTGGGGTTAGTAATGAGGGTGAGTGTTCATTGTCCTGTGTTCTCTGAGCATGACCAGTGAAAGTCCTGAACCACCTGATGCCAGAAAGTCTGCAGAACATCATGTCCAGGACGTTTCCAGCTCACTCTCTTGTCCTAATCCTCCCCTGCCTCTGTTCCACCCTTAATTGATCATTGACTGTCCAGTCTGCCTCTTTCCTGCCTCATCTCAGAACACAGCAAAACTAGCTCTGGGTCTGGGAGCAAAGTCTTAAGTACATTGATGAGCTGGGCGAGGGGCCCTTTAAAGAAGCAGAACAGGTATCATGACACAAGCAGAGGGCTTCAGAAAAGGTCTGTGTTTGGCATCCAGGGCCCAGGGCTAGAAATAGGGGGAGGGACAGGAAGAATACTCCTGCTTAAATTCAGCAAAAGAAGTGGGGTCTGGATAGAGAGAGTCTGGCAGAAGCAGGGATATCATTCTAGGGAAGTTGGGGGAGTGAATAGAGGACCTGATGCTGAAATAAGTCCCAGGGTCAGGAGCAGCAGTACTCATACTGTTACAGTTTGGGCAGGGTTGAGAATGGCCCTGTTTCCTCAGGATGGCCAGCCAGAGGGGCAGGGAGCCACCAAGAATCTGTGCTGTGGCAGAGGAACTTCCTGGGGTCTGACACCCACTCTCAGCAGCCAGACCTGGGCTCCTCGCTGTCCTTGTTGGACATCTGTGTACTGCATAAGCCTCCTGAGGAGCCAAGGAGCCTGCAGACCTCAAGTGTGAGGGAGGCTGACAGGCGCCTGGTGATGTGCCCAGGCTGGGCTTCCTTTTCATGTGTTGTTAGGGCTGTGAAGAGCTGAGTTCCTCTTGTTCTCATGCAACACCAGGCATGAGAGGCTTTCCTGCTCAGCTCAAGATGCCACACTATAGTTGGGGGGTGACTTGTCCCTGCCCTAACTCACGTGGGAAACTTGATTTCCAATGTGGCAGTGCTGAGGGTGAGGCCCAGAGTTTGGGTCATAGGGGCGAATCCACCATGAGTAGATGAGTAACCCCATCTCACCATGCTGGCTTCAACAAGTTCTTCCTCTAGCTGGGATAGATTAGTTTCCAAGAAAGCAAGCTTCAAAAGGAGTCTTGTTTCCTTGATCTCTCTCTTATTATGTGGTTTCTGCACAGGTTCCTTCTTTTCTTTTCTGTCAAGAGGGATTCACCAGATTCAGCTTTCAAAAATTGGACTTTTGAGGCAAATTGTGAGCCAAATAGACCTTTTTTCCTTTATAATTACCCCACCTCAGGTATTCTGTTATAGCAACAGAAAACCTGCTAAGACAGGCCTCTAGGTTAGCCCTGCTCTAACTCATCAGGTGTCAGAAAAGCTTCATCTTGAATGGAATGGGGGAATTTTCCATATAGGGTAAGCTTTTCCTTCTGTGTTCTTATAGAAGAGCTCTTTGTGTAAACTCATCTACCTTGGAAGACTTAAGAGTGCAGCAGGATGTGGGACATCAGGGTAACAGAGCTCGAGGCTGTGTGGAGGGGGTGTGGGCTGGTTCTGTTTCTTCAGAGGTCTTTATGCTACAGGGCAGACTTCACCTCCCATTTCCCTCCTTAGGAGGGACTTGTCTTCTTATCTGTCTTTCTTCTACTCCCTCCATCTTCTTCCAAGGGAAGATAAAACATCCAACCTTGGAAACTATTTTAGGGAGGAGGGAAGATGGAGAGGTTGCCTGAAAGGCAATCTGGTAGATAGGCACCATGGGAAAATCGGATGACACTCAAATAGGGACTGCTAGGCTGATTCGTGGCTCCCCACAAAGTTCACATCCTAAACCATGGAACCTGTGATTAAGGAATCACATATTTGTTTTTTTAACTTTAGAATTCAAGGTGCATGATTACATCAATATATTGCAAGAAGGCAAGATTTTTGCTTCTGTTGAGCCCAGCACTCCCATTAGTTAGCATGGTACCCAGTGGATGATTTTATATCTCTTACCTCTCCTCCCTCCCTCTTTCAGCAGTGCCCAGTGTCTGTTGTTCCCATTCCAGAGCCGGTGTGTGCCCAGTGTTTAGTACTCACTTATGAGTGAGAACATATACGAATGGGCCCACATATATTAAAACAGACTTAGAAGATGTGAGAGTAAGTAAAGAGTGCTGAAGTGGTGAAATTATCTTGAAATATCCGAATGATTTTGACGTAATCATAAGGATCCTTTAAGAGGGAAAGAAGCGTGAGGAAAGTTGGAGAGAGAGGCTGGAAGATGCTGTTGGCTGTAAGAGGGAGTATCAGGAGTGGGGAAAATGCAGCTCTGGAACTGAAAAGCCAAGGAGCAGGATGCTCCCTTAGGCCCCACGGAGGGGCTTGTCCCTGTTTAAAACTTGGTTTTCACTCAGGAAAACCATTTCTGACTTGGGTCACAAGAATGCTAAAAGAATTCTTTAAAACCAGTACGGTTTTGGTAGTTTATTGCATCAACAATAGGAAATTCAGATGAGACAGTCAAGCAATTGGACAGATGTTGGGGCAGACAGGCTGGAGGCCAGGAAGGGGGTCAGAAGTAGTGTGGACAGTCGGTGATGCAGGTGGGAAGGAGGAGGAAGGTAAATAAACAGGTATGGAAGCTGGAGAAAAGGACAGAGAAAAGGCCAGACGGGAGGACAGCAAGCCAGTGGGAAGAAGGGCAGGTAGGCAGATGAAAACATGATGTGGGCAGATAGGTAGGGGCAGGAGGAGGAGGCAAGAAGATGGGTTGGCAGGTGGAGACCCTCAGAGCCCATTCTTGTCCCCCCACGGATTAGAGAGCTTCTTGAGATGCAAGTGAATCCCATTGTTGGATTTCAACACAGCTCGAGGGATGGTATGGGGACCCTTGTGGGATCAGGGAGCAGCTCACAGCAAAGCAGGGTCAGGGCCATGGCCACCTTCAGCTCGTTCATGGCAAATTGTTTCCCAATGCAGTTCCTGGGCCAGGCAGGGACAGTGAATTGAGAAGTGGCATCAGGCCTCTTTCTGAGCTGGGCAGACCTGGTGCCCTGAGCTCCAGCCCATAGTTAGGCATATGGGGTCTTCCCTCATGTGCTTAATCCAAACCCCCTTTCTTCACAGGCCAAACACATCTCTACACCATCTTCAAATCCCATCCTCCCTTGTCCTCGAACAAAGCCTACCCATCTTTCAGGGCTAGTTCCTAACTGCTGCCTTTGCTCTCAGCAGGTGGGAAATATCTGTTAGGACAGGACTTTAAGGCACAGAGTCTAACCACATGAATGGATTACAGAATTATCATTGGTTTGTGCATTTCTCCACAAGTAGTTTTTTGTGCCTCAGTATCGTCAGTTTAGTTCACTGTAGAGTGAAGGTGGGCCACACTCTCAGGGGCTCACCATGTAGGAGGACACATAGTGACCAGGATCCTCAAAGCAAAGTCAAATGTGTGGGAAAAAAGAATCAGAAGGGTGCCCAAGAAGCTTCCTGGAGGGCCCCTCAGATGTTTACTCACTTGCTTCCCAGCCCATGGTCTAGGTTCTTGCCTCTGTCTCATCCCCTCCTTCCACCAGCACCTGTAGCTTCTAATTCTAGGCTAGAAGAGTCCCTCCTTGCCATCCCTTAGTCTCTCACCAGGACTTTTCTGGTGTCCCTGCTACCCCTCCCTCCATGTTGCAGTCACAGCCCAGCTCAGACCTTCCTCACCCTTCATCATACTATGTGTCATGCACTATTGATGTGGTTTCCCCCAAAGACAGACTGTTGTCCTCATTTTTGTGTGTTTTGTCAACATTAGACTGTGTGAGTTATTGGATTACAGCATAGAGATCCCACTTCTTGTACAAAATTTGACCAAATGGGAAAGTCGACATCAATATGTGAACATGTAATGCAGTGATCATTTGCTGAGCAAGAAGTAAAGTGTGGAGATGAACCGCCTTGTAGTAAAACTCCCTGCAAAGGGCTACTTTAACCAATGACTTGAAAGGTAGGACTAGCAAGGGTATCTCAAGTCTAGACACATGAAAAGATTTCAAGGATTTAACTCTGTGGCCAACTAATGAATTACACCAAAAAGCTTGTGTACTGCATTGAGATTTTGTAGGAGTGGAGAAATCAACTCTTTTATATTTGTAATAGTTGAGAAGAGCAAACATGTAAAATTGAATTTGGTGAAGTAAATCTAATATTGAAAAGTCATTCTCTTAACGTGAGTAAAACACAAGAATACACTGGCATGTGGGTCACCCATGGAGAGTGATTTCTGGCTGGCCATTGCAAAGAGCAGGAGCAAAGTCTCCATGGTTGCCCTGGATTGTCACCTTATATAGCATGAGATACACCCACACTAGGTCCCCTTTCCCCAAATACCAACAACCAAGGGCACAACTGAAGATTCCTTGTATGATAATACGGAGTCAAAGCATCAAGTGTATGCTCAGAGACTTCTCTTGTATCCCCACCCAAATAACATGAGAATGCCTCACCTTGATCCTCCTGAGAAGGGCAGGAATGCATGGCTATGTCGGTCAGAACCTGGTGCAAAGCGGGAAGGGTCAAACACCTGCAGAGAGAGCACAAGGGCCAGGACAGGTAGGGGTCATGCCTCTGCTTCCAACCCATGAGGGGACAGGGTACCCAGAGGCAGGAGCAGGATATTGTGTTGGAAAATGTGCCCTCCTCCCAGGGCTCTCATACCTCTGGGTTTGGCCACACCTTCGGGTTGTGGTGGAGGCCATACATGGAAAGTATCACTATGATACCTGTGGGGTGGGCAGGAGACAGAGAGAAGCATGATGATATCCATGGAGGGAACTGATCCCTCATCCAGCCAGGGGCAGGTACATACAGAAAAAGCCAGAGTGCCACAAATGATCACTTTGAGCAGGATGATCCTACCACTATGCAAGTCAAGCAGGCTTGCCAAGCACCTGAGCTCAGATGATGAACAGAAAAGTTTAAATCTCAAATGAAAAGCAATAAAAAATCAGAGCATTATTGTTTGAGATAAGCCCAGTGAAAATGCACAGTCATCAAATGCTCTCCATGAGCCATTGGTGAATGTCCATGAATTCATTTGATACTCATGGAAATGCTCCCAGGAAGAACTTTTTTTGTTCCCTTTTTTCAGATGAGATACATGAGTAACATAGAGGCTTATCGCCTTGACCATAATCACTCAGCTAGGATGTGACAGGTCTGGAACCAGACCTAGTGAGGGTAGATCCTTGGTGGCCTCAAGCACTAGGTTCTCAGATCAGGGCATCAGCAGCTCTCTACCACCAACCTGAAGTCTTCTCAGAGATTGGACAACATGTGATCCATAATGCCGGATTCTTGATCTCCCTCATTTGCTTTGACCCCTTCAGAAAACAATCACATCGCTCTCTGTCCCTATCTGATTTTCTCTCCAGCACTCCACATCTCAGAAAATAGAAGTTTAGGATTCTATGACCTAGGCCAAATCCAAAGGCTAACATTTATTTATTGAAATTTTAGTGGATTCAAGCTCTGGACCAGGCATTTTAAATTCTTCATCCTAAGTGCAAAGAACATTTTAATTATTTAATGTGAAAAAGGAGGCCCAGGAAGGCCAGAACTGCTGAAGCACAGTTTGATGTCTAACCCATCACATGTCCCTGTGGAGTGCTTAGGTGAGTGAGTGTGGGAAGTTCCTACCTTTGGGCAAGGAGTGTCCATCAGGGAAGGTGACAGGTTTGCTCAGTTCCCTGCTAATTGCTGGTACTGGTGGATAGATTCTCAATGCCTCCTTGATGCACATGATGGTGTGGGGCATCTGGTCCAGGTGCTCCCTATATCAAAGCCCATCCTGAAGAGTGGTCGGAGTCTGGGAAGAGCAGGGATTTCCCCCACAGAGAGGGCAGGGCTCTCCCGTCTCTTGAGTACTCACTCACCAGGTGATGGAGGCTCCATCCCCCAAGAGGCTCTGGACCTCCTCTCGGCATCTCTGCTGATGCTTGGGGTTCACGGCAAGAGTATAGAGGATCCAGGAGATGCCGCTGGCTGTGGTGTCGTGACCCTCGAACATGAACGTGTCCACCTCAGCACGGAGGTCCTTGTCTGACAAGCTGCTCCCATTCTCCATCTGGAGGAGGCCACAGCGAGAGTGCAAGGTTTATCTCTTACTCTGTGCTCTGGGCTGAGCCTCAGGCCTCTCCTACATGCACTCACTTTGGCCAAGAGGAGGATGTTCAGGAAATCCAGGTGCCTCTTTTTCTTGAGGTTCTCTAGCTCGCCCTCCTCCTGCAGTTGAGCCTTCCTCTGCTGGATCACTCGGTCTGTCCCAGAACAGTGGTTACCAGGCAGAGCTGAGAGTGTAGCAACCCCCAGGAGACCCAGCTTCACACCTGACCCCATCTGGGTGCCCAAAAGAGCTCAGCAGGAATGAGATTTGGGTGCTTGTGTCAGGAGAGAGAGCTCTAGCATCATGTGAGACAGTTCAAGCCTCCCCTCAGTGGCACAGTCAGTGGAGACTGGTCTCAAATACTGCTGGTATGGGGTATTATTAAACCAACTCTATGTGGTGACACAGATAAACCTCTGTATAGCACATGGCCCCTCAGCTTCCAGCTCCTTCACCTGGGAAGTCTCCAGCCAGTTAGTCCCAGCTCCTGCAGGGGCACAGTAGAGCCTGGCCTATTCTGCGGAGTCATGGCCTCCTCCTTTGACTTTGCCTGGTAAATGTAGGGAGACAAGAAGAGGAGATAGAACCTGTGTACTGATGGGCGATCTGGCAGGCATGTTGAGCTCTGCGGCCTTCAGGTGTCAGATTGTAGATAGTGTCATTCTGGTAAAAGGCATTCTTAGCACGGGAAAAAAATAGGTTGGTCAGATCTCTGATGGCTTTGATGTAGGACTGTGATTTCCTGGGGGAGAAAATGGGGAAGAAACAAGGGAATAGTGGGCCACTGACCTGGAGGCAGAGTGGGGCCTGAGTGGAGACAGCCTCCAAGAGTGGGTAAGCAGTACTGAGGCAACTGTCTCTTTTGTTTTAAATAACATACAGGGTCTAAGTGTGCCAGAGGTCTGTGATCTGTGCCTGAGTCATATTTTCTGGGTTCTACCTGTGCTTGGAATCGAGAATCCATGCTGAGTCATGGTTTCTGGGGTCTACTTGTACTAACGATCATGAATTTGTGCCCGAGACATAGTTTATGGGGTCTACCTGTGATAGGGATCAGGGACCAGTGCCTGAGTCATGGCTTCTCAGTTCTACCTGTGCTAGGGATCAAGGTTTTGTGCTTGAGTCATGGTTTCCAGGGACTACTTGAGCTATGGATTAGGGACCTGTGCCTGAGTTATGGTTTGGTGTGGTCTGGAATGAGAATTGGTCAGGGGCTTAATCTTGCTTCATGTAGAGTGAGCCTCTAGGCTGGACCACCTTCCTCTCAAGTACGTCCACCCCAGTTGGTAAGGGCAAGGAACCTGCGGCTCAAGGGGCAAAACTGACCTGTCCACCTGGATACTGCCCTTGTGGCTGAAGGTACACTTCATGATAGTGTTCAGTGTCATCAAGGTGATGTGCTGAAAGACCTCCACTGGAGAGTCCTGGCCGATGAGCTCTTCCCATTTGTCCTGTGGTGGAGGGGGGCCTTGAACCATCTTAATTCCTTAGAATTTTGCTAATAATACTTGGCTGTTTTTTGTATCTCTAGATACCTTAATTGAGATTCCTCACTTTTTAGATTAGGTATATTGTAGAAATTGGGATGTGAAGTCTATATGTTTAAACTGGTGCCTGTTTCTCACAAACTTTTAACATAGCATTAAACATAGTTCCTCACCATAGCCTGCATTGGGGTTTAAATTTTGAGATTCAGTTATGACCTATTTTTAGCAAGAAACTTTTGTTCAGGAATAAATAATAGGGAACTCTTCAGTGTTCTGACAGCTGATTTGGTTCCTAGGAACAGATAGGACCCTAACTTGTGGGGAGAAGTGTCAGGACAAACGAAAGTTTAAGGGGTGGCTATAGGTCCTCTTGATGGAGGACACCAGGAGCTTCAAAATCTTTTTCATTCATCAAAGCTTTGCTGAGCTCAGTTGGGTGGAAGTCAGAATTCCGATGAGAGGAGAGC